TTTATTGGCCATTTGTACTTCTGCGAAGTATCTGTTCATTTCAGCTGCCCATTTTTTAACTGGGTCTTTTATTTCAGTGGGGTTAATTTTTTAAATTCTTTATGTATTCTAGATATTACTTTTCTGCTCAAAAAATTTTGCCCCATTCTGTAGGTCATCTCTGCTCGGTTTGTTGATTTCTTTGCTGTGCAGAAGCTTTTTAACTTGATGAACTGCATTTGCTGATTCTCGGTACTATTTCTTATGTCACTGGGGTTCTATTCAGAAAGTCTTCATCTGCCTTTATGTCTTCAAGAGTCACCTATTTTATCTTCCAGCAGATTGAATCCTTCTGTTTTTCTTTCTCCCCCCCCCCGTACCAGGAATCGAACTCAAGACCTTGTGCTGGCCAAGCAGGCACTGTACTGCTGAGCTAAATCCCCAGCCCCGAGTCCTTCTGTTTTAACATCTACACCTTTGTCCATTTTTATTTCAGTTTAGTGTATGGTGAGAGGTATGGTCCAGTTTCAATTTTCTGCATGTGAGTAGCCGGTTTTCCCAGCACCATTTTTAAAGAGGCTATGTTTCCTCTAATGTGTGTTTCTGGCCCCCTTGCCAATGATCAAATAGCTAAACATACCTGGAGTTTTTTCTGCATCCTCTGTTCTGTTCATATATCCCAGGAATAGGGATATCTTTGCATTTTATGATGACTTCTTTTAATCTCCTCTTTCAGAATACTGTAGTTTTCATTGTAAAGTCTTTCATTTCCTTGGATAGGAATTCCCAAGTACTTGATTTTTCTTTGTGTTCTTTTGAATGGTATGGTTTTCCTACGTTTTCCCTGAGTGAGTTAATTATTGGTGTACAGGGATTCTACTGGTTTTTGTGTGTTGATTTTGTATCCTGCTACATTGCTGTAGCTGGTTATTAATTCTAGAAGTAATTTGGTGAAATTTTGGAGGTCAGCTAGTTAGAGGATCATATCATCTTCAGATAATAATTCTTCCTTTATGATACTTATCCTTTTTATTTCTTTCCCTTGCCTGGTTGCTCTGGCTAATGTTTCAAGCACTATGTTGAACATAAATGACAGTGAACATTCTGATTTTCTTCCTGATTTTAGAGGGAAAACTTTCATTGTTTCCTCATTTAATATGATATTGGTAGAACATTTGTCATAAATAGCTTTTATTGGATTGAGATAAAAGTTCTTCTGTACCTATCTTCCTTGGGTTTTTTTTTTTTTCATCCAGAATGGATGTTGGATTTTGCACAAAGGCTTTTTCTGCATCTATTGAAATGATCATGGACCTTTGGTGACAGTGTTCCGAACAGAGGTAAATCAGGAAAAAGGATAGGTGGTGCTTGGCCACAGGTAGTCAGTGAGCGCCCCTTACCACTAAGCCTTTGCTTGTAAGGCAAACTCCAGGGGTAAAAGCAAGATGAAACCCTGAGATGGGAGCATACTACATTTCCTTAGTGTTCTTTGCTAATTCTTGAAGAATTTGGAAGTTCCTGAATATAAGAACTATAAATCTTGAATCTTCTTTGGATTAAAAATAAGAATATAACCACACAGAAAACTCTACTTTTATCTTCTATGCAACTTCTATATTCTATACCTTCCATATTCTCGAGGACAGTGCTTCTGTGGTGATTCCTTTAGTAATAGCTCTGAATACTAATCACAGTGCTCTGGGTTTGACCATTCAGACTACTCAAGGAGACTGCTGGTTTTAACTCCACTTTATTTTTTGTTTGAAGCAAGGTTATAATGCTAACACACAAGCATGCACTCACACGTGCATGCACACACACACACACACAAATAATTAATGAATGTCATATAAAATCTAAAATCAAAAAGTCAGCAGGAAAGAATGTGGGTGTGCTATTAAAAAATGAACTGACCATTCTCAGAATTTATGGCTACTTTTGGAAACGATAATAAGATTCAGTTTCCACGTTTTCTTTCATTTCTTACAGTTGTTTTTCTGAAATCTCTTCGAATTTCTCCTGACCTCTCTCCATAACTATTTTTTTTTTGTTTGTTTGTTTTGGTTTTTCTCCGGTACCAGGAACCGAACTCACGACCTTGCGCTTACCAGGCAGGCGCTTTTGCTGCTGAGCTAAATCCCCAGCCCCTCTCCATAACTATTGAGAGTGATTTTACAGTGATCTGCAGACAAAGTCTTCAACTGGAGCTTGCAGTTTTAATCTTGATTTTACTCTTATTTTACATGAGAGTCTGATAAATTCCTTCACAGATTACCTATTAGATAAAACAGCACTTTAGATGTTTTTGAAATTAAGCAACCTAGACATTCCTGAAAAGCTCCTCATGCTGGAAACACATATGACAAATCTTCAGAGTTCATAAAAAAAAAAAAAAAAAGGAAGAAGCAAAATGTCACTGTCCATGCAGTTCTATATCTAGGAAACAGCAAAAGCAATATTTGAGTCTTGAGATGGTATCACACACTTTACTGTCAGCAGACATTAAAGTGACTGAAAAAATGAGTAAGATCAGCAGAGCTGAGACCAGGCTGAAGGAATGCCCTGCTACTACATGACTTCTGAGCCCGGGGGAGAGAAGAGCTGGGATCTCACCTCTTGGGGTGCAGTGGGGGCAAGAACTTGTTTTTAATTTCTTACGACATAACTAAAAGAACTTCTTCCACATAGGCGGCAGCCAAGTGAAGACTTTCTCCCTTTGCTGCAATGGCTATATTTCTGCTCTGACTTCGCTGCTTCTCCTTTGTCCAGGAAAATTTGTACATGGGAGGACATGGCTCCTCCTACACTGATTTTTCCCTCTTTATTGCTTAGGTTTCTTCACATTACAGGGACAACATGCTGCAAAATTACAGACTGCACTTAAAGATGAATTCTCTTAAATTAGCAAATGGGGTTTGGTCTACAACTTCATTCCCTGACTTAAGTTTACAATGGTAATACTAGTAAGTCCCATGTATTAGTGCTGTCATGGCCAGACTCCTTGCAGCCACCACAGCAGCAGTATACGGGAGGGAATCTCTCCTCCTATTACACACATGACAGACGTGGGGCTGGAGGGAGGTGAATAACTGACCGATGTGACGCAAAGCGGTGCTGACAACTGCCAGCAATGCAGCATCCAAACCCACTCCCACACGTAGTGCTTGCTTCCAAACCAGCCCTTGCTTGACCCTTTGAATTTAGAGCAGAGTTTTGAAATTATTATTAATTAAAAGATTGGTTTGATATCGGGAGAAAATTATGAAGTAGACAAAATTACCTTCAGTGAGTTTTAGTGTCCATCCATCCCTGCCTCAGTGTCTCACCCCATTCTTGCCTGCAGCCTCTGACACCTGTTGCTCTGAGAGAGTCCTCTTCATGTCCCAGCCATCCAGGTCCTGTGCCTGCCGTTTCCCCACACTGCTTTCTTCTGAGTGTCCCATGCCAGAATACAAAGTCCATCGTCCCTGGGCTCCATTTGCCCCATTCTGCCAGCCCGCACTTTGCATCCCATCCTCACCAGTGTCCATGCACCGTCAAACATCACTGTGGTTCGCACAGCATCTGGTGCTGTTTTGCTAGCTGCGCTTCCACTAGAAGGCCCAGGGTACTGTCAGAGGTGTAGAGACCTGGCCAGTAGGGTAGATTTAAGACACCGCATAGATCGAACCAAAAGAGAAGTTTGTGGATTAGCGAATTCTTTTGTGCTTTTATTTATCTTTTTAAAATAAAAGTATACTACATCCGCTAAGTAGGTGTAAGACTGTGAAAGTGACAAAAGTTGTAGGTAAGGCTACTTTACAGAAGAAGATGTAAGTGGGACATCATCAACATTCCAAATCTAGGATAAGACTGGATAGGAGACTCCTTTATGTGGTCTGCAACTACAGCTGAAATTCAGAGTGCTAGGGTCTCTGTGTTGCAGCAGGAGGGACTCCGAAGCCCTAACTGCCTGCCATGCTTACATTTAACACAACCCAATGCCTGATTTTTAAAGCTGCAAACAAAAAGGGGAGAATGTTTTAGAGATAAAAATATTTTGGTGTTTTCTCAAATATTTGATAGCCAACATTTATACTATGCATAGTGAATAATTTGCTCATAATATGTTGCTGGAGTCTTCACTGATGGTAAAATAATAGTAATGCTTTATTTTCTGAACGCCTGCTCTGTAATTTTTTCTAATCACTTTACCTCAGTCACTGAGCTTTTTAACTTTGTAGGAAAGATTAGAATAAATTTTTGGGTAAATCTCCTTGGTGGTCAAAAATGTGTTGCTTGCTCTCTGAAATGTAGGAAACAGGTTGATGCGGAACTGTGTATATTTTGCCTCCCTTTATGTTTCAACTTACTAGCTGTATATTTGACATCAGAATCAGGATCTAAGTACATTGATGGGAGATGGACATTTAATCAACTCACAAATGCATATTTCATGGGAGAGGACGAATGTTGGAACAAGAGTATAGATTTGAGAAAGCTTAAGAGGTTTCTTTGTTTAATGCTGTTAGGCAATGCATTATAAATTAGTAAAAGGATCTATATCTCTGTGACAAAATGGAGAAATGATTTAGGTAGTAGAAAGAATTCTATAAATCAGAGATACCTTGATATTATATCTGTCTCATACAGGCTGTTTTAATTATGATTCTATGAAATTATTTTATAATTCCATACCTTCCCCCTGTCTCTTGCATTTTCTTGTGTTTGCTCATAGACTGATAATTATCAGCATTGTCTCTACATAGAACTTGACCACCTGAGTGCTTGACTCAGCTAGAGGCATAAATGGAAACAAGACCACTAAAGAAACCAGAATTCACTTCCCAAGTAGGGAAACATCTGGAAGACTTTGAGAATGCCTCTGCTTCTTCAGCTGGGGTTTGTTTGCCCTTTGCTTCTGATCTGCTCCTAGATTTTCACATGAGCCAAAACAACTCTGACTAAAGAAACGTTTCCCAACCTTTCCTGGTTGTGAGCATCACCTAGGGACAGCTTGCTAAACACACAGACTAGGCGTCAGTGCGGCAGAGTTTCTTGGGAACAGACTTGGAAATCTGTGTTGTTACTAAGGGCCCCAGGGGGATTCTCACAACCAGATGAGTTCAGAACTCACTGGCCCAAGACACTGACTTCTGGGGCATGATCTGCAGAACTAGTCGCAGGCCCAGTGCTCCAGTGAGGACAGACATGAGCAGCACAGAGACCTGGCTGGAGTACCTGCAGTTTTTATTCGCCTCATTCACAAGCCTTTTTGTCCATCAGAGAGAGAGAGAGAGAGAGAGAGAGAGAGAGACTCTGAGAACTGAGAGTTCTCCCCTGTGCTCCAAGAGGTTCTAAACCAGCAGATCTGGAAGACTGAAAGGATAGTTGTGAAATTCTCGTCAATTAAAATCTGTCATCTACCATCTCTGCTTCAGGTCAGCCCTATGCAAAAAGCATAAGGTAGGTGCAATTTCTCTCTTGCTCTTTCTCTCTCTACCCCCTCTTCCCCCCTCCTCTCTCCTCTCTCCCTCCTCAGTGCCTCCCTCTTCCTCCATAGGATGACAGTTCTATGATAGCAGCACAAAATGAGCTCACGTAGGAGGCAAGAAGGACCCTCCAGGGTTTTTGCAATGAGATTCCAGGATGAATGGTGGAGCCATATACTGAAACAGGAAGGCCAAAGGTTGGAGCAGGGTTTGCTTGCTTGTTTGTAGTTTTGTTCTGTTTTGAGTGGAGGAAGAAATCAAGGGGTTAGTGGGAAACTCTAAAAAGACAATGGTAGGACTCAGAATAAGCAGCTATAGTTGATAATGAATTGGTAGCACTTACAGCTAGAAGTGTGACACCAAGGAAAATATGGCATGAGGTGAGAGGAAAGAGGAGTAGGAGAGGGGAGCGGAGGGGAGCCAGACAGTGCAGAGAGGGGGAGAGGAAGGGAATGGAGGGGAGGGGAAGGGAGAAAAACTGGATAGATTCTCTTCTCAGGATCCTACTTCCTCATACTGAGCTGCCTCCTAGGACAGCAACGTTAACCCTTTCATGAGGATGAACCCTCGTGTCCTAATCGCCTCTTAAGTTTCCCACTTCTCAATGCCGCTGCTTTTGAGTTCAGTTTCCAATACTTGAATTTGGGGGACACAGTGAAGCCATAGCACCTCCTCTGTCCTGCTCTACCTGTGTCCAGCCCGTGAGCAAGTGCTCTGGAGCCCACCCTGAAGCCATGTCCCAAATGGAGCGCTCCCTCCTCTATCTGCTATGGTACTGGTTTAAGTACAACATGCCTTAACCCAAATACTGAGCTAGTTTCCCAGGTTTTCTGCTTTCACCTGTGCCCACTGTCCATGAAGGATCTGAGTGACTGTCCCACAGCACGCGTCACCACATCTTTCATCAGCTTAGACTGTCCAGTGGCTTTCCATTCACATGGATGAAATTGAATCTTTTTTTAATGTTATAGTATCATATATCATTGTTATTAAATAATACATTCACACAATTTTAGATTTTTATCTTCTATTCTTTTCACTTGTTTTATTTCTTGTTATTATGTCCAATTTTCTAAAAAATCTTATTTAGAAAAATTATTAATGAACTTCAGAATTATTTTACTAAGATTGCAGAAGTTATATGGCACTTTAAATTGAGTAGAAAACCTATCAGTTGGGAGAAATAAAATATTTCAATATACAGTCTTAATACTTTCATTGTTTCATATATATTTTATATAACTTAGTTATTATTTTACTATTTTAAATATATTTTCTAAAGAGTTTTAATATGAGGAATTGGTATTGAATTAATGAAATTCTTTAAGATAATATTGCCTGTTGAAACTTTCTTGTCCATAATCTTAATGGACATTCTAATATTTTCAGCTTTAAAATATATACTTAATTGACAAATTAAAACTGTATATTGTGTCCAACATAATGATAGATATAAATATGTGTTGTATACCGATTCTTACTTGAATAGGGCATATATCAAATTTGTAAATAAATGCACATATATGGGGGCTGGGAGAGTACTGCTCTGGGTGTACAATCCTAAAGTTTTGGAAACTATTGTACCAGAACAGGAGTGGGCAAAAGATGGCCCATAGTTCAATGTGCTCACACTGCGCTCACGTGTTCAACACTCCCACCCCACAGGGGCAGGGTGAACTGCAAATCTTAAAACACACTAAGTCTCCACTGATGAACATTCGGGTTGCAAACCCTCACGGGTACACTGTGTAAGATTCACAGGTGGATGGTCTAAGACTCTGTGGTTAGGAAGAAACCCAATTTATAGACATTCTCCCAGAATGGAACTCATTCATAATCAAGGACTTCTTGTATTTGCTAATTCACCCTTTGGAGAGAGTTTGCCAACCCTCTTCTAGAAGATAATCTGTAGAGAAATAGGACTATGCACACATATGCTGTAACCTGGATCTTAGACCCATTCACACAAATACTTTCAGATCTGCTGGGAAGTGACAGTTCCCATCTTCTCAGAGTGTGGTCCATGGACCTGCCATGGTACCTGGAAGCTTTTTGAGAATCTACCTTTGAACAAGATTTTCAAGAGACGTGTGATCATTAAAGTTTGGAAAATACCAGTATAACTCCCTATTAGATCACATACTAGTGGAATGCCTAGAAACTTCAAAGCCGCTTATGTGGACCCTGGATTTAGATTTTGTATTGTACATACATTTGCTTCTGGAATTTTGCACCAATGAACTGATTTGCCATATATAGAGAGCAGGGAGAGCTGGCAGGATCTGGCTCCTCTCCATTAAGTGTCTGTACAGAGGAAGGCTGGTTAACAGCACACAAGCTTCGGGGCTTCCCTCTTTTACTAAAAGAAACAAGTATCTTGCTTTTGAAAGGTAAGTTCCATGGTGATATGCCCATTGTTGAAAAAACACATGCATTAAAGAATAATTTATCCCTACATTTTTGTTGTACATGTTTTAGGTTTCTTTTTTAACATTATCCTGAGGCAGGAGGATCACAAGTTCAAGCAACTAAATGAAGCCCTGTATCAAAATTTAAAAATACATAAAAGAGCTGGGGGATGTTGCTTAGTGCTAAGGTCCTGGGTTCAATCCCTAATACTGTAAAAAAATAAAGGAAAAAATTTCCCATAACACTTTTACAAGAGTAAAGACAGGTTTTTCCATATTCACACTGCCCCATCACAAAGAAGAAATGAGAGCAGGACTCACTTTGGGATGCGCTGTGCTTCTCAGAGGCCAGGGCCCCATGGGAACCTGGCTCAGGTTCCTTAGAAGCCTGGATTTGGGGCTGTCTTGCTCTTTCCCCTCCGAGGTTCTCTGACAGGATTTCAGCTTTTCTAATTAACTATTAATGAGGTGGGTGTAATATATTGAATAATGCCAGGCAAACTAGCTGTGCCTGAAGTTATGTTTCCTGAGGGAAAAGAAAACTTATGAAATAAATCATTCCCTCTTTAATTAGAGGCTTTGGCTCACCAACTTGAAATGACAGAGCAAAATGGGAAAAGAAGCCAACAATTTAGTCAGAAACCCAAACATGGGTCTCACTGGCTGCTCAGTGAGAAGTTAACGTAGCTAGGTGAATGTATCTGTGATCTGCATTAGTTACGTGCAGCAGGGAGATGCTCTGTCTGCTCTGGTCTGGACAAACCCGAAACAAGTCATTCGCTTTATAATTCCAGTGTTAAGTCAAACTGAAAAAGAGTCAGAGAGGGCTGGATGGAACAAAGGAACCTATTCCTGTATCTTCTACTTTTTTAGGTTAAACTTTCTGTCAGCTTATCTACATTAGCAACTTTTCTTGTATGCATCACTCTTACTTTCTCAATACACAATGTGGATTCCCTGATTTTAGCAGCACAGTGGACCGGAAGTAAGTGCATTTGACCCGGATGCACAGCGTTCTGTGCGTGGTCGGGACAGTGAAACCACACGTGGTTCCAGTTCTGGCCAGCGTTCACTGAGCACCTGCTAAATGTGTGAGATGCTGTGTGGGGGTAAAAGTGAGTCCATGAAGTAGGGATTATAGATGATGTGGAGAAAAAAAAGGAACTTTATGAACTAAGGAGTAAAAAGCAAAATCAATATGGAGAGTAATTGAAATTTAGTTTCCTCATTTTACAATATGTCATGCTCAAAAATTCAAAAAGAACCTCACTGCATTGCATATATAGAATGTTCTTGTTTTTGTCTTGTACTCTCAATAAAGCCACTTAGATTTTCTATGCCAGTGACTCCCTACCTGAAGTCAAGCCTGCCCTTCCAGGGGTTAGAATCCTCTCGCTGTGGACCAGCGGAGCTGCCTGCCTTGAATAAGACTGACTCGGCAAGCATAGGGACACCAAACGGCTTGCTGAAACTTTTGATGAGCTAAATGTGAGCGAATTCAAACCATATGGGTCACATTTCGTGAACATATATGTGATTTTAACACAAAATGAATCTGGTCCAAGAGTTTTCTTCTCTTGAATTTTCCATCCCAACAGCAAACCTTGGCTGGGATAGGGTGGAGTGTGGCCTGGAGCTTTCAGGCCGATAATGTGGATTCTGTTAGGACCCTTAGCTTCTTTCCTGCTTGCCTGAAGGATTTTTGTGAGGGGACAGCTTCACAGGCGTGTGTGGCTTCTTTCCCCCGGTGGCTACCTGTCTCCTCACTGGTAACTCGGAGGAAAAAAGAATCCCAACAGTTTCTTAGCAAAGGCTTATTCTTTAACCCTGATCTTGAAGGGCAAGTCACCCCACACCCCACCATTTTAAAAAGAAAAAAAAGGTCCAAGAATGTTTTTCCTGATACAGAACTGCCGTAAGATTTTTTGTATCTCACGTTTTCTCTATTTTGATCCTATTCACACTGTCAGTGAATTCTTCGCACTAACTAAATTCCATCCCTTATTCTCCTGGCTCCTTTCCTGGACAGAGCCGCCCTCCCAAGGCCAGCATCTTTCCCATCCCTTGGCGATGGCCACTTTGCCTACCTGCTGCTGGAAAAGCACAGGCGGATTCAGAAGCAGCAGGGCCCTTGCCGCCGAGGCTGAGCGAGAGGGAGGCTCAAGGCTCATTTGAGGAAGAACAGACCACTAATAAATTGCATGGTCATTACCCTTTATGCATACTTGTTCTAATAGGTGTCGCAGATTCCTGCCTCCTAATAAGGAAAGGAAGTAGAAACACACATAAATTCTCTCAAGGGAGTCAGACAGCCTGAAGCCACAGTCAACAGCTGCAAGCGTTACCATGAGCACAAAAGCAAAACAGGGTTTAAAAAGGTGATACATTGCCAGGGACTAGGGCAAAATTTCCTTGGATGCAGACTATGTTTTGTGCAGTTTCATTTGAGAAGAATGCCAGCTTTCCTGCCTGCCACATGTGCTGAGTTGGGAGATGAAATAAACAGCAGCATTAAATGATTTAAGACACCTTTCTTGACTAGATCCTGACATTTGCCTTGATTCAC